ACACTGCTTGACCATTCTTACTGTAATCAGGTTTTTATTTCATTGTAAATTGCATTTTCTGTGTTTCTATTTCTTTCTATTGCCTCTTCTCTCATGCCTGTTGTCCTGATTTAGGGCAGATTTGGGAGGAAACCTCCAAAGGGTCCCTCTAGAAAGCAAATTCAAGTGGCACTTCTATCCACCAGTTTGGGAGACAAATTTTCTTCAAGAAAATTGGAAAAAAACCTGTTTATTTAACAAACAAAGTATTCACAAGCATAAAAAATGAATACTATTAAAGAATGGAAGCTGTCATTGTTCTGAAGAGGTGGCAAATTCAGAAAGCCCTTTCCAGGGGCTGTAGCTCAGCTCACTCTGTCTCCTATCAGTCCCTCCTGCACTGGAAATGCTGCATCCCAGCCCCAGTGGGCCACAGGTGTGAGCTCCAGGTGTTTCTCTGGGTTTTCAGTCCAGAGCAGGTTCAAACAGTTCCAAGAAAAAGAAAAGCCATGGTCTGGGGAGCTTTTCTGCCTCAGCTAGCTAAAAAAACTGACTAAAATTAAAGGAGAGTTTGGTCCTGCTCCCTGTCTGTGCTGCAGACAACACTGTCTGTGAGAGAGAGAGAGAGAGAGAGCTGAAGCTCTTATCTCTATTTTTTTGAATACAGCTGCCTCAGACATTCTACTCCTTCTCCCCCCATTTTACTCTTAGATCTAAAAGCACAGAATTCAATATCCAGTATAAGCAGAACAGACAAGTGGGGACACAAGAACCATGAAGTCATCCTAGGACACCTGGGCGCTACCAAGAATTATCTGCTCCATCTCTTCTCCCCTCTCTGCCACCCAGCACTCACTCTGTTGATGAGATATCCAAGAACCTTCCCCAGCCTGGAATACCCAGCCTCCCCCAGCTCTTCTGTAGTGGGGAGCCCAGAGCTGTGTCCTGTTGGTGCTGAGCAGCAGGAGGGAATCACCTCAATCACCTCCTTTGATCTGCTGGCAGCACTCTTTGTACACACACAGAGTCTTAGAATGAATATGTCATTTTAGAAAACTCATTAAAAATATTTTGCTAATCTAAAAAGGAAAATACGTTAAACTACTGACTATTCATGCAAATAAATGTTACATTTTTTTATTCTTGAATCCTACCAATGCTTTTCTTATACTTTTCCCCATACCTTCTTTTTTAAGAAGATTATGACTCCGTGTTTTTGCAGCCAATTTGTTGGTGCTGATAGACTTAGAGGATTTTATTACCAGGCAGAGGTATCCAAGTATGTGTCATCTCTTAAACAAGTCCTGTTCCTGACACATGTCACAGAAATAGACACCCTCCCATTTCATAATGCTTTGCAATTCATCATTTGGTTTTCTCATGAAATCCCAATGAGTTAGTTTTTTACTTATTGGCTAAACTGTTTGAAACTCAATTTATTTTGGCAGTTTCTGATCACAGGCTGTTGCTGTGATGTATAGCATGGTATGAAGCTGAGGCCACAAAAAGAGAAAATGGCAGACCAAACAGATGAGACTCTGGTTTTGCCTATATAAGTAACAAAATTTGACTGAGTTTGTGCAGCCAGGATGTCACCCTAAGTCATTTTTCCATGTTCCCCTTGCTAAATATCAAATTTCCTGAAATTCCTGAAGAATTGGACATTTACCATGAGTCATATAAAGCAGTGAATTGTTGGATGTGGGCTACACTTCAACCACAAAAACCCTCTAAAACAGATATGAACTGTGCCCACCTCCATATGTTCATGCAGTTAACTCCCAAATCAAAGAAACGAAGGGATTTTTTTCTTTCTTTTCTCTTTTTCTCTCCTATCTGACTTCTCTTGGCATGCAATGGGCAGTACTGATAGCTCCCCAGAAGACAATGTGTGGGAGGGTGTTGCTGAAAAACTCAAAGGTAAATATAAATTAATAAAACAGATGAAAGTATGTTTTCCAAGGTCTGGCAAGCAGAGAGATAATTGCTTTTGGATTTAGGAGGTATAGAAATCTTTGGCAGCAAAAAATTTAAGGGAAAAAATCCTTAGAGAGTTATGCCAAATGCTAGAATAATCATCTCTTAAATAAAGCTTTATTTGCTTTCCTTCATTAACTATTGTAAATTCCAGATGCTGCCAAAGCTTTGACTGATTGATTAAATTGATTACTTTGTTTTCTTATAGAAAACTGTATTCTTTACAAATTACGTCGTGGAAATACAAACTGTATTAGTGAGACACTGGTAGGTTAAACCTTCCCACAATTTCTCACATCTTAGACTTCTTTCACAAAATTTTCTGAGATTTCAAAAATATACCTTCTTTAGCATATGTGGCAGAACTGTACTATTTTAGCAGTTTGTTTCAATATATAAAGAAATTGGAATAACCATAGATCTCTTACAGGCCCTTTGGTCATACCTCTGCTTTTCCTAAGTACAGACACTCCTGGGTGCATGTGCTCTGTGACTTTCTGTCTCATACCCCTCACTACCTCACAAAAAAAGCTCCTGCATTCCAAATCCTGTCATTCTTAAGTGACAACATCTCTTGACTGAAGAATATTTAGCTGTAGCCAAAACATTTCTGTTTTCCAGTATCGAAGAGATTTTCTTTTCCCACTTAAAATTCTGAGCTGTTGGTAGTAAGCAGACTTTTTAGGTAGAATAATAATAATAAAAACACCTGAAAATAACATTTTCTATGGAATAATTTGGAGGGTCTTCTACTGAATAATTTTGATGAAACACTTCCTTCAAACCTACTTAAAGGAAAATTTAATATATGGGCCTAACATTTTCCTTTATTAGCAGGAATAACTATATAAATAATAATATAAAAATATAAAGTCATTAATCTGGGGTTTTTTTGTGTTAGATTACTAATTTAATGTACAATATTTAGAAGCAAAACTAAAATTACAGACAGCAATTTCAGGTGGAATTACACTAATATGAAAATTTCCCATATGCATTTCTAAGCCTTTCTGTAGCTTATAGTGTGTTTTTTGAAATGTGGCAGGGAATTAATCTTGCAATCTGCTGAATTTTGATTTCCCAGTGGAAATCAACCAGGAATGGTCAAGTCTACGAGCTATGTAAAATTATCCTTTGCACATGGGAATGCTCAGGGCTGGCTCTGTGTAAAGGCAAAGTAATCATCTGGCAGATAGCGGAGGAAAACAAAATGCTGAGAGCTCTGGAAAGCTAGGCTAGCCATGCTACCCCTTTTGGAAAGAAAAAAATTCCCCCACAAATATCATTCACCATCTTCCCTTTTCCATCCCCAAAGGAAGAGTAAACCCAGCTCTGAACCTCTGTGTTTCTTACCCTCCCTCCTGCATGGCACAATTACCTGGGCTGTGTCCCTGCACCTCATAGCTGAGCACAGAGTGCTATCAAGTCAGACAAATCTCAGACATTTCTGATTAAAAGGCATTTTTCTGAATGTCTGTGGTTGACTTTGCTATTTTTACCTCTAGACATCACTCTCTTAGTAATGGAAAAGGGAAGAGGGTCTGTCGACCCAAATATCAGAATGGCACGGAGTTCTGCATGCCTGTGGCAAGAAGTTGCCCCAGACTGAAGCTGACTTTTAACCAGTATTGGTTACTCTATTCTAGCTATACACAGGGGAGCTAAAATTTGTGTTTCAGACCTTGGTTACAGCTTGTGTTTTGGGGTTCAGCTTTCTTGTATATCCTGTACAGTTATCATTGACTCAGAGTAGAAAAAGGAAATTCTTTGCATTTACAAGGTTAGTACCTATTGTAGTTTAACTGAATGGGGGGGGGGGGGTGTCTAAATAACTCTACTACTCACATAATATACAGATGTTATCATGAGGTTATGTCAGTTTAAAGACAATCTGTTTAGTAAGTACTGTAGCATGCTGTATCTTTAAAATTAGACAACACCTATGTACATAAAGTGTGCCCTTAGTTATTATCAGCAAATAAACCCTTAGTAATGAGGTTTCAGATCTATTGGTTCAGTGTTGGCAATAACTCTCTGAGGAACTGACTTCAGCCCATTAAGCAAGGCTGCTTGTGCTCCCGTGGTTGTTAATTTGACGGGACTGTGTCACATTAAGTAGAACAAACATGTTTTCACCCGCCCAGCCAGCCAGAACGGACATGGCTGTTACTCCAACAACTGGATATTGATTGGAAGCATTCACCCTTTCTGACCCAGGGCTGGTACATGAAAACAGAGCCAGGGCTGATTAAGAAATTGTATGTGTCTGTGCACATGTGTGCAGTGTTAATGGTCCACATAAATTTCAGGCCTTTTGAATTCATGTCATGTTAATGCTCTGAGCATGAGATCTGTCACTCATTTCCTGCAGAAGCTGTGAAGCTTCATTTATCTTTAATTATTTATTTGTCTGCATCCTTGTACCCATCTGGTCAGACCATGCTTTCAGGGTCCGCTGCCCCATATTGAAAAATTTGTTTATTAGCTGTAGCTCTAATAAAACTGTCTCAGGAAATGATGATGTTGAACTGCTGGGATTTGCTTCTGGTTTTGAGCTCATAAATGGCATAATTCAGTAGATAGTAGTGTGCTACTTTTGTGTGTTCTTGATACAAAGAATTTTATTAGCTGGTCATTTCTGTAGACAACTAAGAAACAGGAACTACAGGGAAACAAAAAAGAAAAAGGGAGATTTTTGCATCTATTAAAGAAAGCAGACTACCTTACAATATAAGTGTTTGATATACTGCACTTCCTACTTGTAAAGTTTGCTCTATTGATTACATTTAGTACACACTTGGACATGTACATGGTCTAATGCGGCAGAGAGAGGAGGAAATGGTGTGAATTGCTCTAACATCCCATGCTGAGCAGCGTGGAAGGAATACTCTTCTTGCCTTGCCACCAGGAGAATCATGAACTTACAGGGAATCCTGGCTTCAGTGAAGCCATGTACTCTCACCTCCTGCAAAAATTCCTCAATGGGGGCAGGAGTTCCTTGATGATTTAGTTTTCATTTATATTCTTCTCAATTGTTTTTTCTGCTCCCTCTCCAATATTAAAGCCTTCACCAACCATACTTTATGACTCAGTAGAATTATGCTACATCTTCTCAGCTTTGCTATTTCTAAGAACAGCACCAAGAGGTGATAACGAGTTTTACTTATGAAGGTAAGTACCACACACTGTCTTAGAGTCAAAGGTAAAGTTGGGCCACTCAAAGTGAGAAATTACAGGTTTAGGTGCTTTTAGCATAGTGAGAGAGGAATAATCACAAGGGCTAGGTATCTCTCATGCATTTCATGCAAAGTAAAATATGCAACACTGTGGTATCCACATGCCCTCTGAACAGAGAGAGATTACCTTTCTCAGGATTGCTCCTGAGAGAAGCAGAGAAAAGAGAATGAAAACGATTCTTACCTCATTCAGTGCTCCCTGTTCATGCCCGTGTGGAATGTGCTCTGGAGACTTTTTTGCCCAAGCTGATTGCTGGATTGGATTCTGGTGATGGTGTTTGGATTAATTGGCCAATTGGATCCACAGGTTTTCTAGTTAGCCACTTAGTGATAGTTCTTGTTAGTGTAATATTGTTATAGTGTAATATAGTATAATAAAGTAATTCATTAGCCTTCTGATATCATTGGAGTTCAGACATCCTTCTTCACAAGTCGGGGGTCCCAACACTGATACAACATATGTAATATATACTTTCCACTATTTAATGTGGGATTTTTTCCTAGCACTAGAATAAGTATTTATAAAAAATAAAGACACTATAAAATATATTATGAAAGACTTTAAAGAGTTTTAAAAGTTTAGATTTTTAGCACTTAAATACTTAATTTCCAATGTAAGATACTTAAGAAAACAATGTAATATTATGAAAAAAATTGGAAATTAAAATATATTTTTATTTATTGGTTTCAAGATATAGCAAACAGAAAGTAAAATTGCATTGCTCTTGCATTTCTCTCCTTCACAAAGTAGGCACAAGCAATGCAATCATGAAGAAAACAAATGGAAGTTCATCTGAAAATAGAGAAGAAATTTTATGGACATGATTCATTAACATGAAATACAAATATATTACAGTGCTAAAATTCAGAAAAAATTGGGAAGAGAAGATGGCATATCTAAGTAATAAATGAGAGGTCCCAAGCAGCAAAAGATTATGTTCATCAAAAAGAAAAAAATCACATTAATTTTAAAGACATTTCTCTCTACAATTGCAGTGAAATACTTCTACAATGAAAAAATTTATAAAAAATGATCAGGCTTATGGAAACAATTTTTCTAAAGGATCTGTTTTGGTATTGAAAGTGCTTTTATTTTTCCACATTGTTATACTTTCAAGCACCTGGAAAAATCAGAGGAAATATTGCTTGAAAATCCTTCAAGAAGAGTATGTGGGGTAATGAAACTTAATGTTTGCTTACTATAGCTCATAATTTGTGAAGCAAACAATCTCAGAAATATGTTTGATACTCTGCTTTGTGGAGATCATTGGAATTCCACTGAGTGGACACGATGCTGAAAAGGGATTCTGGCATGACTGCATTCAAAGGGAATTAAAGATTCATGGAAGCTCTGTAGAGGGATGTAAAACTAGAAGAACATCAGAATACACAATTAGTCATAGGGGATAATTCTGCTGTGATTTTAAAGTGATCAATGCATCTCTTTTTCATATTATTAAGCTATAAATTTTTTTATATTATTACCCCAGGACCCCATTGCACCCACCCTAAAGCACCTCAGGACCCCATTGCACCCACCCTAAAGCACCCCAGGACCCCATTGCACCTTTGAAAAGATTTCCTTGAGTTCAATCCATAGAGACAAAACTACCTCCTAAATCAGTCCTGTTATCCCTATTAATAAAAATATTTCCATTAACTTTAGGGAATTTTAGATCAGAAAAATAGGAAAGTATTATTACAACTTCACAATCTTCCTGAAAATACTTCATGAAGATGGAGAGCATCAACTCAGTTGATATTATAAACTTAAGTTACTCATTTCTTCTATTGTACCTTTCTAGAGATACTGCAGTCAAACAGTTGTTCCTTTAACTTCTTGTCTTCCCTTTCTCCTTCCTCCTTGAATCTACTTTTTTAACTTTTGATGCACAATGAAATGAAAACATATTTCCTAATAGTTTGGGGGCAGGGGCTGTGTTTCTGAACAACAGAATGAGATGAGAAGGGGGACATCCTGTTTTCCTTTCTGTATGTGATATGATGTTGCAGATTGACATCATCTTCAAATTTTATATCCATTCTGACACCAAAAGCCTAATCTTATTTGTGTTACAATTAATAGATAGTTAAAAGTTTTGAAGAGAGAGATAAAATTTACTAGGAAGCTGTGTGACTGTGGGACTGGTTAGCATGATAAGGTTACCCAGGAAAATAATACAAAGACCACAATAGGATGTAGCCATCTCCTCAATTTATATGCTGTTTACTGGATTACACTCTTTTTCTTTGGTAACTGTTAATGATATTTAATAGATCTCAGCTACATTTATTATATAGGCCTTGTTTCTTCATTATATATATGTAATACATATTTGCAAGTTGGAGGATATAATGAATAAGCCACCTGATCTAAGGTTTAAGGTTAACATTTGAATATGTAATACAGTAATAGTGTTTTAAGAAGCAGAAGTATAATTTTTGTCACACATTAATCACAGTTATTTAAAAACAAATATTACGAACAAGATGGAAATAACTTAGTTATGACACAGATACTTATGAAATTGAACAAATAAAAACTCACTAACTTTTTATTATCCTTTTATATTGATAGTTCATGTTGACTTCAAATCAAATTTTGAGAAGTATAGGAAAAATATCATTATTTCAACCCCACTGTACTTGGTAGTCCCCAAATTTAAAGCCAGAGAAATCTGTGCTTCAAAAACATGTACCTGGTGAGAGAAAACGGACAGAAAATGTAGCATTCTTTGCAGCTGTAAATGCAATGATAGACAGGAAGGTGATGGTGATATCAGCCACAGGAACATGGAATGATACAAACTGGAAGGGACTTGTGGAGATTGTTGGGTGCAATCCCTGAGAAGACTGTCCAGTCAAGTTCGGAGTATCTCCAAGGACAGAGATTTTGTGAAAGGCTCTCTAAGCAACCTCTCTCCAGTATTTAGCTACTTCCATGGTGAAACCAGATTTCATACGTGATGGCACTTAGGACATTTCCCTTTGTTTCAGCAGTGTATATCCCTAAGATTCCAATCCCATTCTCCTAAAGCAGTGGGAGACAGCAATAGTCTGAGTGCATCCACCCTCTCCTGGAACACAAGGTGTGTGAGCCTCCTGCCCAAGCAGCTGCCTTCACTCACCTTGCTCTCACTGCACAGAGCTCCTTCCAGCCCAGCCTGGCTACATGATGCCCAGCAGCATCATTTTGGGTGGCATCATATTCCTGTGTCCCCCTCAGAAGTGGCCTTGTCTCCACAGGTACCTGCAATAGACAAAGAGGCTGATCCTGTGGCTTTAATTCCCAACTGTGCCAAGCTATCAATGTTTTCATTATCAGAAGGGTCAAAGGGTGTGAAACTAATGTCTGGCTTCAAGGAAAACAAATTATTGTTGAGGAAGCTACTTGAACCGGGCCCTGATTTTAACTGCTCTGTATCAGCTTGATTAAATCAACACTGGATGGGACCACCAATAATATTAGTGGGTTTGATTGAATTGCAATGCTTCAGACAAATGTGAAATGCCTTTTGGGTAAAAAATGTTCTGCTTTTTCTCCTCTGCTTCATTTTAGTTTCATCTGTTTAAAAGGAAAATATTTTTTCTGTACAAAATAAGAGAAACAAGTCTGCAAATTCATTAAATCTGGTTCAGTAACAAGGAAAAACAATTAGGAACTGGTATTAGATGGGTGTTTTGATGTTTGGGTATTGGTCTCTACCTACTTTTACAGTAGAGCAAGACTTGAAAACTAAATAATTCTTTATTCACTGATTTTTTGTAAAAAAAACGAAAAAAGCAGAAAAGGATAAGAATCTGATTTATATTTGATTCAGATGTGCTTTTAAATTTTCTTGGGTTTTCTTTATAACTAGGATGTACACAGCCTTGTGTCTTTCTGTCAATGTTCTTCCTGAAATTCTTAGACTAAATGCACAAAGAGCTTTTTTCCTGTATGCTATAAAGAGCAATGTGACTAGAATGAGAACATGCTCAGGAATCCCAGCAGACATTTTGGTTTTCTGTATCCTTTACTTGGAATGAATAGGCATGAAGACATCTATCTCATCAACCCAAATATATTTCCAATCTGATTCATCTTTGTAAGAAGATTAGAGCATCTTAATGCTGTGCTGCTGCCTTTCCTTCAGTGGAGAGAAGTAGTTGATAAAATAGATGTTTAAATCCTCATTACTTAGTATCTAATAGCAGTCAGCAATTTAAACAAGAGTGTTCAAATACATTACAGGTAGTACTTGTGCCTCCTGCCAGCTCTCACTGCACATGGTTTAGGGTTGAGGGTTTCAGTACTTTCTTTAAAATGCCAGTATTGAGATAAAACGCAGGATTTAATTTTGAAGCTTACAGTGTAATCCAGTGTATTTATTGAAGCCAAATTTCTTCCAATCAATGTTCATTGGTTTTGGGTAATCTTTGAAGTCAGTAGAATTTCTGCTTTTACCCCAGACAAATTCAGGCATATCATCAAAATTAACTTTTAGATAACTTGAAACTTAAATCTATGCTATTACATCTATTTCCCCCCTTTTTACCTGGCACCATCATTGTTAGTGGTTTCTCCTAACAGCTGGGCCCCTGAATTCATAATCACTTCTTAGAATATCTACCTGAACAACTGCTATAAAATGTGTGGAGTTCTGTTCCTAGTGATTTTCAGTCAGTGATTAAGCTTTCACCTAAGAAAAATAAAACCCCCCTTATATCTTCCATGGTTGTGTTGTACAAATTAACACTTTTTTTTTCCAAGACACAACAGTATTTTTAATATAAACATTAATTATATATTTAACTTGTTAAGGTTTTTAAAAATAGTCCCAGAAATTGCTATTTTGCAGCTTGTGAAGTGTTCCATGAAGAGTTCTGTTGGAAAGAAAAAAGACTTAGTATGCAACAAAGAGGGTTCTGGTTTTTTTACTAGTTAGTTAGGCTTTTGTTGTTCTTGCTGTGTGAGAAATGCTGTGAAGCCTTATGTCCTGTAAAATACTAATAAAGGATTTTGAAAGTCTGTGTTGCTTTAAGAGACACAACTCAGGATCCTAATGGGTGCTCCTCTATCTGAAAAAGATCCCTGCCTTCAGGTATTGATTGATCCTTTGTAAGTGAGAGCTGCTGCTCACTCAGTCTTTTGGACTGTTAAAAGTTCACAATGTGATGGTACATATAACGCTCTCTGTGTTAAACAGAGTGTGGAGTGAATTAAAATTATTAACAAGTTTCCCCTCTGAAGAGCATTAGCTAGGTAATAAATCAACAAGGGATACCACAGCATGATGAAACTGTCACAGCTCACAGTTATTACAACACATGGGGCACTGTCAGAGGACTTTAATCTCCCTCATGAAGAATAATTTATTACAGCAACATCCTCTGAACTTCCCTTGTTGATATAAAAATTATTGGGATGGAGCATTTGGCAAAGCAATATTAGCAATGCTAAGGAGGTTGCATATAGTAATTATTTTCATTAATCCGCATCAGTGCCCTAAGCAGTAAATACAATTATCTGATTTTGAACCAAAAATATGATGGAAGCAAAAATCTTGTATTTGAGGCAATTTGACAATAAACAGATTTCCTTTTAATTTTAATGATGAGAGAGAAGATGTGTGCACATGAATTAGTATAAAATTCTTTATTTGGCTTTAAGGACTGCTCCAGTTATCCCACTGCATGCTTGAAATCATGCAAAGCACGCTTCTGCAAGGCAGAACAGTTCCAAGCTTGGACAGAAGGTGTGGAAGTGGAGTCTGATTGTGCTTTGACACAGGTAGGTGTCTCTGGAAAGAGGTGGAAAGCATTTACTGCCTTTGAAAGCCTTCAGTGTCACAAAAAAAGCAGAATCCAGGTGCCATGGGTGGCTCGGAGCTGGTTCCTCACAGACACCCAGAGAGAAGCTCTGGCTGGGGGTGGCAGAGATTGATGTGAGCCCCAGAGGGTGTGGAGCACTGGGTTTGCTCCATCTGGGCTGCAGGGAACCTCTGCTTGAGCAAGAACACGGCGGCTGAGAGCACTCAGGGCAAGGAACGCTCCTGGTGCCTGAACAGCCAGGATCCAAAGAGCAGAAAAATGGCTTGGGCTGAGATCTGCCCTCTATTATTTCCATATGTTGCCTCTGCTGAAGGGAAAAAACAGAATATCTGCTAAGCCTTTGGACAAGGCTGGGGAAGAAAATCGGCTCAGAAATCTTTGCCACCTTTTTCAGTACTAGATGAAAAACTTAACTGCACTTCCTAAGCAGGCTAGCCAAGCTCAGATGTGATGAGGTATTAAGTAAAACAAGCTAAATGTAGGCAACTGAGAAATTACTTTTGTAATATAAATATGCCAGTTTTTATTGTACTGGGCTTTTTGCTTGGGTTTTGTTTTTTTGGGGAGGGGGTGGGGCATAGCACATTTGCTCCAAAAGGTGTACAGAAAATCAGATGGAAATTTTTTATCTCCTATATAACTTAAAATTCCACAACTGAGTGGATTGACATGAAGATTTTTGTCTTTTTCCCCCTCATCTGTTCCAGTTCTGCATAATCTTTTGAGTATAAGGCAATGTCAATAGTCTGTTCTGAAAATATTGAAGGACTCTGTATTTTTCTTTCCCTAGTTCCATGCCTGCATGGTATTTGTTATGTGGCCTAATGTAGACAGGCACCAGCATGCAATGCATGTACACCAGGGCATGCAACAGCAAACATGCAATTATTTTCATTAATACATGTGTTTAAACATGCTCATTCAATGATGCCATAAGCAGCTGTTCTGCCCAGGAATGTGGCATTTCAGGACCCTGAAGGCCAGATAGGTTGTGCCTGAAGGGTTCCAGGGAAGAAGGAATTAGAGATCCTTATTGAATTACACTGGTGATTCAGATCCAGCACACAGACACAGGAAAGACATCCATATATTGCCAAATTTACTCTTAAATATTGTACTGCTCATTTAAGTGAAGTTATACAAATATATGTCTGAGCAGTCATTTTTATTCTTTTTTCTAAAGTGGTCAGCTTCTAACAGTTTTATGTTCTTAAGTAAATATTTCAATAACCAAATGTCTCCTGCAACACCTAATTCTGTCTACAAAGGCATGTATTTTTCAAATTCACAAGGAATTAATTTTTTAGAGCTTCTGGTTGCATAGGCCATTGGAATTCTTGGCCCCTACTCTCTTAAATAGATCCAGTTGGGCAAAAACTGAGAAGCAATCACGTATGGATACACAATTGGATTTTCTAACGTAATGGCCAGGATATGCTTAACAGAAATACCAGAAACCTGTAAAAGAGTTACAGCTATTCCTGGTAGCAACAGTAAAACTTCAAAAAGCCTTTAGTCTACCCTTGTCCTATCATTTCATCTTCTCTTTTTCCTTTGTGTATATTTCTCAGACAAAATGCGAACAGTAAAATCATTCCAGACACGTGTCTTCCATTAACTTGTTGAACTCAAGAAACTTACAGCACTCCATTAAAATGATTTCCCCTCTCCCTAAGATGCCCTGTCACAAATCATAGAGTGACTTTAAGCATTACTTGCTTATTCCTGAAAACACTGTAGCCCTGAATAAAACACTAAAAAGCCCTTTCCAAAAAGAGAAGTTTAATTCTGAACTGTAGCTCATAGGCATTGCAGGCTTCTGCTCTAAATAATCTCAGATGAATTTGATAGCCTGGGGTTGTGTTAGTAGAGATTGATTGAAACATGAGTTGGGTTTAATCCTGCTGGAATATAAATTGCAAGCAGAATGGTAGCCCTGAATGAGATGATCAATACATAAGCTCTCTCAGAAATCTGAGGTATTACATTTTACATTAAATTATTCAATAGCATCTGTGCCAAAATTAATATGACCCATATCAGAAGGGAATGATGAATGTTTTTATGAAATTTTATTTGAGCAAGTTTAAGTTCATTTTTCAAAACCATGATCACACTTGCTATTTTTATATGGTTCCTTGAAAGTATTTTCCCAGAATTAATCCCACAAATTTTCTTTTGTGTGAATGGAATTGAACCTTCTAGTTAAAAAATGATGGACAGTAATTAGGACATAAATTATTTAAAGGTCTTGCAGTTTAAGCAGACATAAAAACTGGCAGGCAATTAAATTCATGGTAAACTCCAGGGGATACTGGTGGAAACAGGTGGAAGCAAGTATTTTATGAGATCTTAGGACAAGCTCAGGGCTCAGGAGATGGTGACATGTGGATGAAAACTGGCATTTTTCAGTCTAATGCTGGCTTAACAAGA